CACGCGGGGTTTCGGGCTTAGGGTTTAATGCTTAAGGACAAACCCACCCGACCCCCAAACAACCACGGCAACCCCAACGACCACAACAGCAACAGGAAGATCATACGCCACAGCGACAACGGCAACTGGAGCAGCAGCAGCACCAGCGCAGAGCCGCATGCCGAAAATACCCCAGCCTTCGTACCCTGCGGGGTTTAGACCGGTGGCTGGAGTCGCTAAACCCGAAACCCCAAATCCTCGACTACGCACCAACGATCTCGCCTTTGCATGTCCGAGAGTGAGCGCCGAAACCCCCACTCACAAAGCGACTGTTTGGAGGGGTCCGGTCTGGCTTGGGCGTCCGAGGCGGCAGCTCAGCCGGATCAGTGGTTGTTCGGTGCTTCGCATTTTCGGGATTGGGGTTCCTGGGGTCCCCCTAAGGGATTCTGTAAGCGTACATAGGTTTGAGGCTTTCGGGTTTGGGAGACCAGGGCTTGAGCCTTCCAAAAAAGCCACTTTTTTTTTTACGAAGGCGCCGAATGCGCCATAACATTTACTTTAGCCGTTGGCGCGCTGGTTCCCCAATACAAAATATTGCCATAGTAGCAAGCATAGGCCTCAAACAGTGAAAGGCATCTTGCGGCCCAAGCCAAGCATATCCAAGAACCATTCCAGGACCTGAAATGCACAATGCCACCCTATGGGTCCAACATGTGTACTGCACAGGATTGCACATGTGTGACGGAAACACGAGTCGAATACACCCAAAATACACAGAGCGCTTTGACGGGAGCGGCTGCCTACTCGGTTACTTCACGGTGGTGATGAGTTTACGATAGCAGGAAGCAAGCGGGTAATTCTTTGATAGCAATGGGCCTCCATGGCACTTGCATTGAGAATTGTCGTAAGCTCTTTGGCAACGTAGTGAGTTCGAGTTCGAGTTTGCTTGACATACTCGCTAAATTGTTTTTAGATTACATGTCTCGACACCGGTACTGGGGGTGAAGGCGAACGGCTGCTGAGCTTGGGTTCAAGCTGTACAGGGCAAGTGTTTTGTGGGTGGGGCCCTACTTCAGCTGTTCGGAATGAAGCAGCAGGTCCAGGACAGTGACAGCCCGAATCACACGATTGGAGTTCTGCAGTTGGCTTTGATGTTGTTGAGGCCCGATCTCTCCAAGCGTGTGCCTCATGCTGAAACTTACTACAACCTAACCCCTAAACCTAAACCTCAAACGCTAAACCCTTCTACATGGATCTAAGCCGCTTGCACCTTTCGGAGGTTGCCGGCTCTAGAAAGGCAAAGAGTCACAGTTACAGACTACATTCCGTCTTCACAGCCGTCTCAAGGCCCTAAGCCCGAAGCCTTAAAAGCCTTACGGGCCCTACAGTCCAAGAGCCCGAAACCCCACACCCAAAATAAGGCTCTCGAAGAGCCCAGGAGATCTTCTTCCTAGTCTTCTACTCCGTGGAGTTGGCTATTCGCGCCATTGCCCTTCAGTCCAAGTGCTTCCGTGATGGCTGGTTCATCTTCGATGCTATCCTGGTGGGGAATGGGCGGGTGGAAGGTTTTTAAGGGGGATGGGCCTAAACCGCAAATCCTAAACCCAGGGTAGCCATCTACGGCTCAAGCCGCTTCCACCCCAAGCTTGTTTTCTGCCATCAAGCTCCTTGTTACAGCACTTGGAGCATGGGGGCATGTGCCGTTGCGGCCATCGAGAACAAAAACACATCGCAGCTTTCCAAGCTGAAGGAAGCTGTAGGCTCCGTCAAGGCGTCCATTCAGCAGGATGTGGCGCTCGAATACTTCAAACTCGTCAACGTCGACTGGCATATTGTGATCAAGTGCATTTGTGTTGAAGGCCGGCTTGAGAGCAGTGGCCAATGCCTTCGAAAAGATGTATCTTGCCCATGAGCACCGCTTGTTTTGCGGAGTCTCTCGGAATCACGCATGTCACGTTCCAAGCGAGGTCCAAGACATGCTGGGCCACGGAGCTTTGGACAAGTGTATTTGGTTTGGGACCGTGTGGCTGGACAGCAGGGTGCCTTGAAAGTATGCCAAGTGCGGAAGGCGGCTAGCCGCTAGCTCAATGTTATAAAAGGCTGTTTATGCGAGATGTGTTCATAAGTTGGAGGCAACCGTTACACACAGCTCCATGCCGAAACAATAATTCCCACATATTCCCACTGTATACATTCCTGCTGTCCTGTCACTGGTGCAGAATCAAGGACAGAAAGCCGAAATCCAGCAAGAAAATGTTGCCCTGAAGATTTTGGCCGGTCAAGAAGTGCCGAACATCGTCGAAATGCTCTTCGCATCACTTGATATCTCGTGGGCCTCCAGCTTACCGCGTGCAGCCCACTGCTCATGCGAACTGCCCCAAGCGAGGGCTGGACACGGTGTCAGTCAAAGGACCCGCGGTTTACGGCTCCTGTCGCTCTGGAAGATGTTGCCAACCTTGGTGGGCAACTGATCGCACCTGACATCTACACAGAATCTACACCGCCCGGTGTCGGACATCCAGCCGGGCCAATGCGGGATTGTTAGAATCGTTGAGTCCCTGGAGATTTACATCATTGATAGCTTCGAGGGATACGAAAAGAGCACGGATTTCGGTTCCAGCGACCTCGACGAAATCTGGGACCAGATGCATGGCTGGCGGAAGTAACACAAGCTGGTTGGCTTGCCTGATTTTGGACCTTCTGCCCGCAGACCACAGCTGCATCAGTGCTCCAAGGAGTTGCAGTTGGCGCCTCAGACCGCATACAGCGTGGATGTTGCATGGGACGTGATGCAAGGACATATCAAAGCACTTGATCCTGTTGGACTTTGCCAACGATGAACGGGCTTTGATCTGCTCGTGGTATGTGTTCTGCATAGAATTTAGACGTATACTTGCCAGCTTGCATTTCGAACCCGTGCAGCAACATGCATGTTGCATTGTCTTGGAATTTCACGAGGAGGACCTAAACTGGTTGAATTCTGCATATAATCCTGGCGACCTGCTGGCGGCATGCCATGACAACTTGAGTGAAGATGTCTCCTGAGATCCAGACTTGAGTGCATGCAGCAAGGGCTTTGAACTTGGTGGTTTGGGCAAGGATGAAATCAAATCGACATGGATGCTGCGCTTGTGTCTCCTCTGCATGCCTGGATTGCGTATGGAGCGAAATGCGAACCTGAGATAGGAGCGGAACCGTGTTGCACTCTCTTTCACAGGCTTTTCTTGAGGACCAACGCGGGTGTTGCGGTCTCCTGTGGTGTATGTAGGCTGGATTGTCTTTCACGAAAACCTGCTGTCATTCAGGCTTCGTCTAACGGATCGTAAAGTGCTAGTGTGCTTGTCCCGCCAGCCTGCCTTGACAGCACGGTCACCATGCTGTTGATTAGTTCTCCTGCAATGCAAATTTTCGCTAGTTTGTCTGCAGACCTTGCCTGGACTAATCCGAGTGTGAGTGTCAAAAATCCTCTATTGTGTACAAAACGCAAGGCTTCAGAAAGAGGTTCCATTGCGTTGGCAGCGGCACACGGAATTCCCGCATGACTTACTCTTGGCCGGGGGCGTACGTGGTGAAGCTGACGACTCTAACTTTTGATCACGGGAGGAAGAGTTCCTGAGTGCAACACTTCAGGTGGTATGCGCGTTAGTTCTGCATGCGGGACCGGCTGGACGACCCGCTGACTGGAACCTTTACAAGCCATGTCGTCCATGGCAAAGCCGTGGATACGAGAAATGCAGCCGCAAGAGAACGAACAATGGCACCGTCATGTCGGGGCCATAGTAGTGTTGCTCGGGAGCCGGGGTCTGAAGTTACGACACATCACAGTCTACACCTTGCCAAAAAGGCAGGGACTTGCAGCAGTTGGGGTCCAAGGGCCTGGCAACTTTCCATGGTGGGCCCATGAGAAAGTGGGAAAAAACACCACGTTAAAGTTTAGCTTGCATTCCAAACGAAGCAAAGCGCACGGCGAATGGCGTCCATCCTGGGTTTCTAATTCAGTGCATGAGCCTTTGGCAGCGAAAGCAGGAGAACCAGGAAAACAACCCAGGGTCCAGGTCTTTTCGGGTGTAGGGTTCAGGCCAACTTTGGGGTTCTGGAGTTTAGGATTTCAGGATTTCCGGTGAAGGCCGTTCGGTCAAGGGGGGGTAGAGGGGTTCACCATGGAAAGATTTTTTGTCCGGACGACCTCAACCACCACACATACTACGCCCAGACCTGCCTAGTCCGGGAGTGAGCTCAGAAAACTTTAAGCCATCAAGCTCCTGAGTTGGCCTGCTCCGTCGGAGGCGTTTCATAACTCGTAGCAACAAGCTTTAGCTAGATTTTCGCCAGGATTTAGTATGTAATTACTGTAATCTGAGTCAGTATATACGCATGCATACTCTTCCGAATGCGTGTTTGCAGGGTGGTGCACTGCAACGAAGAGTAAGGGCAGCAATCATGGCAGTCGGTAAAGATTATTTGGCATTGTAATAGTAACTTTAATAGTATGAAGGTGGGATCACCTACCAAGCAATCAATATTGTTCCTTGGGGTGTGTAGTAGCATCATACTGTAAGCGGCACCAAAACCTTTTCGAGTCACTAACACGTAGATTACCTCTGTTCGTTAGAACCGGAGATGGAGGTGGGCGTAAGTAGATTGATTGAGGAAGGCTTTACTGGGGCCTTTTATGTTGAATGTAGGACATTAGCCTTATATAGGTGTTGGGCATTTATGTTACCTACCTTTGCCGATTTAGGTAGGGGCTTGTTTTTAGCCATCGACGGTTAACTTGGCCAAAGCATAAAGCCCAAGTTTCGTGATTTGAAGCCCAAAGATCTTGAACGCCTGTAAAACTCCATCAGAACTCTATTATAAGGCTGTTGGGTAATGATTTGAGTATTCTTGTGTTTTGGGTGTTATGGTTTCTTTCATAGGGATCTCCAAACATGTTTGGTTTGCATACCTCTAGAGTCTAGAGTGTATTGTTACAGTGATGCGCTGCCTTGCAACTTTTCTCGAAGTCGTTTGCTTCGCAGGTGACGAGCGCCTACATTGAGCAGCTCTTATCTCTCATAAACGTGCAATCCGAGCAACAGGCCGGACGACTGATCAGCTACGAGTTACGATAATGGCTAGTTTCATGGTTACTATGTCAGTTACTGTAACGGTTACTGAGCTAGCTAATACCATAATAGTTACGATGATGTACTCTGCGTTACGGCAGTAATTTAATGAGATGGCCTTCGTGGTGATGACGGTGCAGGTCATGCTTGCTTGCACTGTTGGATACCGCCTGTTATGTTGATTAGCTTCGTTGATGGTTGACTGATTGCTGGCGTGCTTTATTCTTTCTTGCTTGATTGATTTGATTGGCTTAATGGTTACATGGTTGATTGGGTTGGAATGGAGTGATGGGCCGGGATGATTCTTGAAATTAGTTTGTTGGTTTGAACTGGTAGCTTGACTGTTTTGTGGACGATGCTGATGACGATTACTGTTGTCAGCAGTGGTGTTGATGATCGTAGGAGTGGCCGTAACAGAAAGGCAAGCCCCGTAGAAGGACGGGGGGAGCAAGAGCAGGAGCGGGCAGCCCACAAGAGTAGTAGTAGCACCAGTAGCAGTAGCAGTAGAAGCAGCAGTAGCAGGAGCAGGAGCAGGAGCAGGAGCAGGAGCAGGAGCAGGAGCAGTAGCAGGAGCAGGAGCAGGAGCAGTAGCAGTAGTAGTAGAAGAGGCAGTAGTAGTCGTAGTCGCGGTCGAGTCGCAGTCCCAGTCGCAGTCATAGTAGCAGCAGCAGTGGGGGCGTGCAGGTGCAGTGCCAGACATAGTGGCGGCGGCAGTAGTCGTGGTGGTAGTGGTATTGGTGGCAGGAGTCGTAGTAGAAGAAGAAGCCAAGAAGCCGCCGTCGTCGTAGTACGACGAGGAGGGAGGAGTAGGAGTCGGAGTAGTCGGGGAAGCGATAGGAGTGGCAGTAGCAGCAGCATGACATGAAAAAGATGTCGAGAAGAGGAGGAAGAACAGGAGTAGCTGCACAAGGAGCCGCAGCAGCAAGACATAAGGGGTAGCGGGGACGGTAGTGATTCTCGTCATCTTTGCTCTCGTGGTGGGCGTGATTGTTTTGATTTTTGGCGTCACAGACTGCACGGCTTCATGCCATTTTCGTCGTCGTTTGTTTGGTCTGGATGCTGGAGGGTGGCAGGCCTCGTAGTCGTAGCAGCAGAGGCATCAGTGCTGGTAGATGTAACAGTGTAGTGGCAGCGGGAGGAGTTTGTTGGAGCAGGGGAGCATCAGTTGAACCAATTTATTGTGTGACTCAGGATCAGTACGTGTTACCATCACAGGGACTAAGCCAGTGGAAGAGCCAGATGCAGTTGTTTCTCATGATGGAGTTCGCAGGTCCTTAAGCCTCCACAGCCCTTTACCCTGCTGGCGTGATCCTGGCAAATGTGTCCCAGCTCTGCAGATAATGATTCTCCGGCTGCTGCGCTTGATTCGCTTGGTCCGAACCTTCCGGATGATTCGGCAAATTAAATCAATCTGGCGGTTGCTGCCCCTTGTCCGCCACTGTGAAGAGTGTAGCGTTTCGGATTCGATGTGGCTTCTGACGTTAATGATCACTGATTCATTCTCCCGTGAGTCTTAAGGCTGTAGGGTGTTGCGCTAGAGCGTTGAGGCTCCTTTCTTCATCTTGTTACATGTTAGGCCGAATTTCAACGGAAAGCGTCTACCATACGCGCTCAGATAGAAACCATGAACTAGAATCGAAAAGCTCTGCGTTAAGTTTTCGGTAGCGACCAGTTTCGAAGAGCTTTGGTATTAGTGATACCTGCCTTCACGTTTTCCTCGCAGGCAGGCTGCATGGCATCTCGTGGTCAAACCATTTAACTATAGCGCCGTAATAGCGCCTATACAGCCTTTCTGAGCCTCAAACAGGGCTCTTGTTATGGAGCTAAATGTAAGTTACCATAACAA